ATGAAAGAGGCACTACAGCCAGTGGAGTTGGCACTCGCCAGGAAACAGTTCACGAGGTGATTCGATGCTTTTTCTGCTGTTTTGGCGTTTGTCTATCGTTTCCCGCACACTGCCGTTGCAGAAGATGTATGGTTTGGACAGCAGCTGCTTCTTCGTACTGGCTTGATTGGTGTCATTCGCTGGTTGGGTTGCTGGTGAGCTTACTGGGAAGCAAATTGAGCAAAATTGATATTTAAACCAACTGTTTTGATCAGTTGAAATTTTTTCAGTAAGAGAGGCAGGAGGTCGAGCTGGCGGTCTCTGTATTTTGCGGTGGAAGAGGGAGTGGGGGAAGGGGTACGCGTAAAGCGGTATTATTAGGAAGTGGATGTGCAGGAAGTTGAAAGAGGGATATGAGGTTCAGCTGAAAGGTAAAAAACTAATTTAACCAATCAGGAAAGCATCAAAATTGGAAAGAAGCAAAATGAGTCAAGAGGATGCGTGTTGTTCTTAATATTGGAAGGATAAAAATACAGTTAAGGGGGGACGGGGAAGGGGTATCAACCTGCTTGTTAGTGCATTTCCAGTAGCTAAATTGGCGATTTTTGTGTGGGCAACCTCATTAGAAGTTTGTCATTGCAGTGATCGAAATGGCATTGGGCAGCGTGGTGCATTACCCTGCGTTATGGCTCCAAAACTGCCGCCAGCAGAACAGCGGGAAACAGTGTTCGTGAAAACGAATATTTATCCACTGGAAGTGGAAAATCGAATTGTGTATCGCTACGATGTGCGCATATATGTAAGCCGTGCTGGTACATCGAAAGAAAGGCCGGTCGATTTATGCAAAGGCGAAAGAGATGAGTATGTTTTATGGCGATTTTCACTCCTTTCTGCTGCAACACGAAATAAAGCAACCAGACACGAAATAAATCCTCTGGCTTAGGATTTTAGCGAAAATTGCGATTTGGCGTAAATTGAGAGTGGTTAAAGCATCGTCATCGTACGGAAGAACCGTTTGACGGTTTAAGTAAAAACTTTTGAGCTTCAGGCTCGTAATATACGAATAAATTAATCAGTACAGTGGAGCTCAGAGTGCTGGGCTATCCTGTATTGGTTTCATACGGCTATTCATGTTAATTTTGTTTAGCTCATTCCAGGCGAACAATGCTTTTTTGATGAACATTCGACTAGGCACAGCAGATGCTGGCTTCTCGGACACACACTCTTGACACACCTGAAAATAATATATAAGCCTTTATGAGTCCTCACATATGAGTAGCAACAACACATAGCCAAATACAGTTTCATGCACTTAGCGCCCCAAGCCTCCCTCTCCTAATCTTTGCTGTCAAGGAGAAACCCATGACTACATCCAAGGAAAGCTGAAGAACCGGGGTGGGGGAGG